GTTTACAGTACTTTCTTCCCAGTTTCTTCGTCTCATCGTAAAGTTGTCTCTTATTTCTTTCTTTCACAGCGTTTTCTGCTATCCGCCTGTCGGCTCTAATGCATCTCTACACTAGCTTGTTTACATTTGTGTATTTGGCTTGTGCTTTGGCTTCCTTCGTTCATGTTTGACTGTTTTTGGCTGCCATCCTCTTGTTCTTCGTCTCTTGCATCTCGTTCCGAGTATCAGTTGAGATCCGCTCGTGAAGCGGACTCCTCATGTAGTCCAGCATCACCAGGCACGTTGGACTTATTGCTCCTTTGATTCATCTTTAGTTGTTTTTTTCACAGTGGCATAGTCCCCATTAAACAGATCTTGGAACCTACAACTGAAAATTTGTAGTGGTGCTCATTTTCAACCACACGATCATTGATGGTGAACATACGATAACTGAAAAGATTTACATTCAAGATTTGGCACTTGGAGGAGGTCAGAAAAATGGTGAACGCGGGAACACATTATCTGTAAGACATTACACAGGCATGAGGTGTGTATTATTTTGACCCTTCAACTCCAAAAGCAAAATTTCTTAGTAAAAGCGTTTTAGTCATGTTCTTTTTTAAGGGACTGGATTAGAAAATGCATGCCTAACACTCTTCGTTCACCCGGACTTGAGACCTCCAGTAAACCTAGAAGGAAGTCAGGTGGAGTAAACTGAATACGAAACTATATTTATATAATGTTATAGTTTAGGTTGGTATTAGTACGGTTATTTATGCTACCAAAATAATAGGCCTAATCCCAACATCGTAGATTTACCACTATGGGACTACCTAGCTTATCAGACCTCACGTGGAAGTCACATCATTATCTATACTGACTCGTCTAGAGTGAGTCAGTGGTTGCGGCCGAAGAACACGTGTTGGAGACAGGATAATATACTTAATGTGAAAAGGAACGGGTTATGTAGGGTGAGTACACCTCATGCCTGTGTAATGTCTTACAGATAATGTGTTCCCGCGTTCACCATTTTTCTGACCTCCTCCAAGTGCCAAATCTTGAATGTAAATCTTTTCAGTTATCGTATGTTCACCATCAATGATCGTGTGGTTGAAAATGAGCACCACTACAAATTTTCAGTTGTAGGTTCCAAGATCTGTTTAATGGGGACTATGCCACTGTGAAAAAAACAACTGAAGATGAATCAAAGGAGCAATAAGTCCAACGTGCCTGGTGATGCTGGACTACATGAGGAGTCCGCTTCACGAGCGGATCTCAACTGATACTCGGAACGAGATGCAAGAGACGAAGAACAAGAGGATGGCAGCCAAAAACAGTCAAACATGGTTGAAAATAAATACCACTACATACATTTGAATCACCATTCGAAATAGCTCAGAATGACATGAATATATTCACAATAAATACACATATGCAATGATTAAAATGTCCTTTACCAGCTGTCACTTTATGGATGGCAACACCACCGTTGAACGCTGGAATCTTTGGTGTGGACAGAAGTGCCGCGGTGTCATATAAAAAACGAGTAAAGTGATGAGGGTAAATGTTAATCAAGGTTACATAACAAAGACCTGGTCGGAAAAGACTCAGATATATAAATCCATGATTACACGAGTCCCTAATAAAATTTAAAATGTAATTGACAGATAATTTTCATTTAAACAATGAAAATTAAAAGCACGAAGTTTAGTGAATGGATCTCTTTTCAATGAATTTATTATCAAGCTGTAAAATCGTGCATATATGAAATTTTTTCTGTTAAATTACTAATTCCCTGATGAACTTTGAACATGAATAACTAAAATGACGTAATAAAAAGATTACAATACTAGAATACGCAATACGAATAATAACCATGTATTTAGTGAACGTAATAAGGTTTTTGTTGCAATAATTAGAAGTCATTAAAGGTCATAGAGGAATAAAAATAAATAAGGTGATATGATGAGCTTATTACATTTCCTCACGGAATTAGTACTTTGACAGAAAAATTTCATTTATGTACGACTGTACACCTTGATAATAAATTTGTTGAAAAGAGATCCCTTCCCTAAACTTCGTGGTTTTAATTTTTAAAATATAAATCATTGATAATGATCAAAGAAATAACAATCTTATCCAAAGAAATACTTGTAGAAATTTTTTGGTGTTGTTTCCGTTATAGGTTGTTAAACGGAAGTTTCTGCTGATACTCAGGCATCCAATATTAAATCATAGAAACTAACTACCTCATGAATCCCAAATCTTTATGTTTGGTAACGACAAGACACATCTACTCATCAAACAACAAGTCTCAGAAGGTCCATTAGTTTTTGTTATAATTGAATCAAGCTATTACTTCTTATCACTGTCTCGTTTGTCCTCCTTCAACTTCAACAAGCGTGAACCCGGAAATCAGGTAAAAGACCAAAAAAATGAACGTGAAGGGGCCAAAAATTCAATTCTGCTCCCAATAAAAAAACGTCAAGGACCAAAACACGCTAGCTTCAGTTAAAATAGGTTCAAAGAAACGGTAACCTTGTGTCAGTCTTAGCAGAAGAAGCTCACCTCATAGATTTTATAAAATATCGATACAGTATATCGTATACCCGCGTGACTTCACATCTAGTGAACACATATTATCTTAAAATATAAGTAGCATGTTACAGGCGTTGTGGAATTGCTTTATATGTGGCTGTTAGTTGATTTTTCTCTCTATTTTACATGACCGTATTTTCATGCATGACAACTAACAAACGTGTACTTTCCAGTTGCATTTTGGCGAACTTAAAATGAGAAAAAACTACGAACCGTACAATAACAAGTAGGTGGGTTCTTATAATAGCTTCATCGTGTTCTTTAACCTTTAAAATATCCTATACTGCATTGGAAATACACAACACTTACATACAACCTAACTCCACGTATGTTTTTCAACCAACAAGTCTGCTCCGTACATACCGTGTAGAGCAGCTATGGTGTCGAATATTGAGCATGAAATTGTGTATGACAATCATGAAATTAAAAAGCACATTTTTAATTAAAATACCTAGTTTGACTACTACTCCAAGGGGATACATAACACAAGCCATTATACCTTTGCCGATGATTGAAATATATATTCCAGCTCAAACATTTTCGAATTTCTTTTTAGCTTTCCTGACATTGTACCAAAAAGTGCCCGGACACCAGTGTTACTGAACTCTCCTGTACCTAGAACAGGCTTAAGTTCATGCCTGATAGCTGAAGAAAGTAAAAACCAATTAGCGAAAATGGAAAGCATACGTAGCCCAAAGTGCCTAGGGAACTTACAAAATGATATGCTCAGTTTTTTGTATACGTTTTTAAGTTCGCTGCTTGAGTTCCGCAGAATACGGTTTACGACTACGGCACTCTAACGTTGGAACTTCACCGTCGCAAATCAGAAGACAGAGAAAAGCTGGAGAAGCGTTTATTTGGTGACAATCCAAATGTACAGAAAATCACCGGCATTTATGGATATTGGCATATGTTAAATCAGCATCGTAGTTCGACCAGTACGCAAAGAGATATATTACACGACTGTCCAACAGTAGCATTCCATGTTGTCATTCTAGAAAGTCCCATCACGTTCTGATTGGGTGAAAACTCTTCGGCTCCTTTAGGGCTCCGTTGTGGTTCTCGGAAGTCAACCCAACATAGGTTTACTGATAGGTTCTCTGAATACACCAGCCTTTTCCTTTCCAAAACTGGAGCTGATATGCAACCTCATCTCTAATGCTCAAACCTTATGTATCACAGGTGTTACAACTTAACCAATGACAGCAACATGACAGATCTTCTAGGAGATAATACATGAGGATATTGATATCATAATGTCGGCACTAACCACACACTAGAGAACCATCTTTTAACGCCTTCTAACACTATAATTAACATACAACGCCATCTGTTAGCAAGCTATACTTGGGAAGAAAGGTTTTAAGGATGGTTACTTCGCATCTCGAATTTGTTGACTGAAATGGACATATGGGCCAGTATCTTTGATCTCATAGGCAAGGTAGATGCCACATATCTGGATTTTTCGAAAGGCTTCGATCAAGTCAATCATGAATATCTCATCAACAAACTCAAGAAGATAGCTGTTCTGTCACTGTTGACTGACTGGTTCAAGTCAATCTAGGGTTATTTAGGGTTACTTTCGATTATTTATGCTTTAGGGATTAAAAATATCTCAATTTTGCATTAGAGATTCACTATCGGTTAAATAGAAATTTATATAACAAGAAAATAACTTGGAAATATTCTGTATAAGGTTCTGTTGATAACGTGAGGTTATAGAGAAAAATACCAATCAAGTAAGTAAACTAGCGCTTCAGGAAAACTGGAATTGACATCGTTAATCTAGAAACTTCAAAACACGTTTCATGACAGTTTTACGGCAGATTTATCAGGCGTTTTAGCAATGCCAATCAGTTTAGTTCACAGTACAAAATTAAAGAATGTTTGAAGTGTTTGTAGCCACTCTATTTAATCTATAATAGTGATAAACTTATGGATTTTACAACCCCCAAAGTAGTCCAAGCAACTTCAGTCCGATCCTTTAAATCAGAATATGATGTTTTATTAGGAAATCAATAGGCAATCTCTTAATGGTATATTGAAACTCTATTTATTTCTACTTGCTTCCATATACTCAAATCCCTTCCAGAAGGAATTGCCGATTTGTTCCTTATAGCATAGGAAAATTTTCAACCGAAAATTTCTTCCACCCTAGCCCAAAGTAAATGAAATAATCTAGATAACTCTTATCAGCAACCTATTATAGTTAATATTTACTCTCTTGCAAGCTACTGAGGTTTCAATATGTGTGGCGACTTGAATTATCTGCCTCTAGTTACGATTTCAGGATTATTTTAACATGAGGCTTGTATTACTGCTCAATATTGTCTGTTTCTTTCATCAATAAAGTTAAGTGCATTGTATGAGCTTGTTTGGTCGTCTTTTTGTTCTTCTCTTTTCCAGCCCTTCTTACGCTAAAATGAATCCTTCCCCAACACACTGAGCACCACCAGCGGTGACAAATGAACAAATTATTCTATGTTTAAAGATAAATACCTTATGGAAAGATTCAGATAGTGAAGAACCACCAGAACATCGTAGTCACTCAACAGATTGAATCATTTAATGTCGAGAAGTCTTTTGATATTGGACGTTACGCGGTAACAGTAGGGTGTGTTATAGCTTCACAGACATTTTGATATTGCTGTTCAGTCGTAGGTAAAACAACTTGATTTGATTCGATATTCCCCAAACTTCAGTTAGTAAACGTAGAATCCTCTTGCTATTTCTGGTAAATTACTCATTCTTTTTGAAGTAAAACTCAATTGAGGTTTTCTTGTATTCTTAAATATGTTTAACCAAAAGTTTGTGCAGATTCAAATCTTAAAAAAACGTTTCATATGATCTCGGTCAGTTTATCTACTTAGATTACGCATATATGAGTGCAGTTATCAGTTTATCTCACCTTTTTCATTTTTTGTAGAAGAAACTTGTTGAAATATCTTGTACTGAGAAGTCTACATAATATCAAGAATATATTGAATAAAGCCACTAATAATATGTGTGTTTAATACGAAACCCTCATTTAGTATTGTTTTTGCCTATTCTGTTACATGGTAGAATAAATACACCTGCAAAACAATTGTCACACCGCTGACTGTTCGATATTACTAAAACAGTCGAAACCTAGATATTGGAAGGATATCGTCATTAGCTTGGCCACAGAAAAAGCTAGACAAATATATATCTGATTAGTCTTCTTAATATGGTGTTAAAATCAGTGGAAATAGTTTGTCCTGCTCTCCCAGTCCACTTGTATGGAAATGCGGTAGGACTAAACTATACTGCCGAACCAATCAGCAGCTTTCGCGGGTTTTCAAGTTCACGGCGCTAAGTTCGGCACCTGATGCTTACGTACGATCGGTTTACAGCGAATTTTAGGGGAGACGTGATAATTCAGCGTCTACAAGAAAAGTGATTATAAGATTTTGGCGTGAAATTCAATTATCCATTTGGATAAATAGAGTTTTGGCATTATAGCTGATGTCAGTTCGTAATGAAAACCCTAAGTATAATTCCTAGCCTTAACCGTGAACTTTAAATCATAATTTGAATTATTTACACAGGTTTATACCTTCATTTGGTCTTAGTTGTTATGTTGTCACACTCAGAGTCACTCTAGCGTCGCTCAAAGGTTGTCCATAACTTATAGTCTCACCCATTACCCTAAACCTTAACTCTAACCCTAAACCATACCAACAACATTGAAGCTATGTGGTCGAGGCTAAAAGAATTTTTGAGACCTTATCATGGTTTCAGAGGTCGACTACTATGGAGCTATATGGATGTGTTCCTGTACCGTATGCACTATGATTTTAGAACTTCTGAACCTATATCTGACCTTGAAAAGTTTTTGACTCATGTAAAAGAAGTGTTTCCACTTAAATTCTTTGGTTTTGTATGATAAACTTTTACTGTACACTAACTGTCTTCTGATTGACTAATATTTCTCAAGGTCATTAAGATTCGTTCAAAGGTCGGCAGTATAGTTTAGTCCTACCGGAAATACTTTCAAGAAATGACATGGTTTTCATGAGGTTAATCCATGGTTGGTCATCCTCATTCAGGAAGGAGATTGAACAAGATGTAAGCATAAAATACTTTTGTAGGTGTAGTCCTTATAGATCTCAGCAAAGCCTTTGTCTATGATGTGGGTTTCAGAAGGCAACGGGAGGGCTTCTCAATCATTTGTATGGTCAGAAACCAGATTAAAATCTTTTGCAAAAATAGAAAACAGCGTGTGAGGACGAATGATATGTCGTCATAGAAATATGTAAATAATTAAATTGTCAAAGGATAACACTAGAATTGGGTCAGTAACACGACAGAGATTGTCATTGGTATGACAGTTGTCATTTGGGGTTCCTATAATCCAGCTATGAAGTCATCATGATCCTTGAACTCAACTCGTTTAAGACGTAATAGTTGTAAGCTTTAGCTACTCGAACGTGGAGAACAACGAGTGGTGGCTTATTGGTCAGAATACTGGCTCTGTGTAATCGCCTGTGTTTACTGTTGGCATCGTCAACTTGTCGCTTAAAAAAAGTAAATCAAGCTGAGTGCAAAAATCTGTACTTGGTATATAAGTAAATCATTATATTGAAGTGTTAGGACTCAAAACAAATTTCAGATGATTATCGAATCCGTATAACTTGTTTCTAGATACCAATCCAGTGTAGGTACACCATATAGTAGTTCTCAGTTTGAATCCGATATCTTTTTATTTTATTTAAACACATAAATATTGGTACAAGGAAGCACCAGATAAATATGCGCCTCACAAATCTCATTTGATTTGTGTGAGGGCTGTGATACTACCCAGGTGCCCAAACTAAAGCAGGTGGTTTTCTTAGGGGGCCACACCCCAATCCTTTGACCTGAAGGTCTAGTCCATAAGGCAGTGGAGCATCGTGAGGAGATGCAGTCCAATGGTAGCCGGTGACCAACGATAGGTTCATACGCCATTTGTTCCATCAGGATCTTGGAGCCCACGTGCACCATTGGTTTGGAATCAGGGTTTTCCAACTCCCCTAGTTGGATCCTCCACATCCACCAACCCGGTTAAAGCGCCGGACATTCGCTTTTCGTCCTCTCACTTTCGTGAACAACACCCCCACCACGAGAAGGCAGTGAGTAGGACTTCCCTGTCAGAGGCTATATATTCGTGTGGCCATATGAGAGCATTTGGAGAGGGAGAGTGGACTCTCCCCACTCTCGGCTGTACCAGGGCATTTGGGGACTCATAATTCACACCCTTTCAGTAATTGTCATCATTGTATCAGCTGAATCTGCTAACCGACTCTTGCTTATGTAGTATATTCTCATAACTAGGCACTTATTTTACGGAAAAAGTAAATTTTTTTTACCTAACATATTATTGCTTAAATGTTTTGATGAATACACTTCAGATTATCATGAATTCACAATCTCTTGAAGACAATGAAACTTTATATGATTCATCATATGCAAATTGTGACATCAAAAAACGTCAACGTTCTGATAAGATTTCAAATCTTATGGGCCAGTATCTTTTGAAAGGATGGAGAATGTTAAACGAATCTTGTCCTAAATGTGAGGTTAGTTGTATCATGTTCTCAAATTTTATGTTTTTGCAGACTATTCTTTTCCAACAACCAAATGGTCAGTATTATTGTGTAGCTTGTTTAGAAGTTGATCAGGAAAAACCCAATTCTATAAAAGAACCATTGTTAGGTAACCAACGCTTACTCAACAAATCACAGAATTTTTCAACAGAATCGTCGCCATTTCGTAATGACGTTGACATTGGGTATGTATATTTGTTGTTAAAAACAGTTATAACTTAACGTCAGGTTAATGATTAATTAAATTAGCTTTGATTAGGCCCCATAAATAAACATAGATTTTTTTCATGGCTGCTCCACTAAAACTGTTACCTAGCTACGTGAACTTAAGTCAGTGGATCAAGTTTCGAACTTTTGAATCCAATGGTTAGGAGTTAGGTGTTCAAATCGACACACCATAACATTATCATGTAATTGATGATTAGAATAATATGCAGTTCTTGTTATACAATGATAACTGGCTTTGAGTTAACGACATAAATTAATATATTAAAAATCAGTTGTGCGACTTTACCAAGCGTTTAGTTTATTGGTGAAAGCAGTATATTTATCTGTTACCAATACTAATTATTTTCAATTTATGTTGCTTGGGATTGGAAATTGGTACAAATTTTATATAACAACCTATCAAGGTTTTATTCAACTGGCGTTGTCAGCATTCTTATTTACGGCCATTTTGTTTCTTTAAAGTGATTGTTTATAAATGTCTATTTTGGAGCACGATTCCGTCGATGTTCTGACATCAAGGAACACATAAATTGTTGGTTACACAGTAAGTGTAACAGCTTTGTTATTGGTATACCGTCGATAAGTCCATCTACAACGTAAATAGGAATTGTCTAGCTACTTGCTACTCAAATTGCCACACTTCCAATACCTGGATCACATAACTTTGTTACAGATTGATAAGACAATGTAACACTGTTTTAAGCAAATAAGTGACCTATTATGCATGATATTTAGCTCTATCTGTAAATTAAACTGGCAGTGATAGCCGTCTATTACAGTAGTTCTCTTAGAACCAACAATTATGAGCAGTGGTTTATGATCTGAAAGTATGAGCACAGGGCTTCGTTTAACTGAAAATATCACTGAAGTGCTAGAACTTCAATTCTCCCGTATTTTCACTCAAGGGGGGAGAATAATTTCGCAGCTTTCTCAGTAATCTTTTATGACTTGTCTTCGTCTTGGAATAATGGCTTGGTAATTTATAGGCATTTAGTCCTTAACCAGTGAATTGTGGAATTACACTTGTTCTTCAGTATTAACAATGTAATAATATTATATCATACAATTAATGTGATTCGAGCTTGTTAACAAGAATTGTCATCACTCAAGCATATTCGTTCTATTTATCGGTATAGTTGTATGCCCCGCAATACACCTCACCGCCTGTTTTACAAGCCTTCCAAGCTATCTTGTAAGACAGGATGTATAAGTATGTTTGTGTACAAATTACGTATTGCTAAAGTGTTTAATATAAGCAACAATATTCTTTGATATAATACTTTTCTACAATCTTTGTATATTTCTGTAGTTTACCAAAGAAATTCACTGATCCTCAGATGAAACCGCTTTCCGATAATAAACAAACGTCAACCAATGCGTGCAATGAGATTAGTATACTAACAGAACTACGTGACAAAATCCATTGGTCTATGTCCCAATTAGTAGAAACTACTACACCTATGGGGATTCGGCAATGGGTGGATACACTCAAGTCTTTATTAGATCTATGGGATAAATTGTTAAAATCTAATTTTGTCAAATCCTAATATAAAAAAAGCCATATCCTAAGTGCAAGACTATACGAAATATATTTTTCTGAATATAATTTTACCAAGAATTAACAAAATAATATTTTCTTCTGTATTTTGTTACTTTAATTTTTTTACTTTGCAAATTTTGTGCAATTTCTGATTGATATGGTCTCATAAAACACAATCCGCATTTATATACTACTCAGATGTGATCAATAATGCCTATGTGAGCTTGGAGAGAATTTATTCTTAAGAAAAATGTCATTCATCAATAATTTTGATTAGTGTAGATCCTGCTCTTCTGCCTAACAAATATTTGCTTCGTCCGGGGTTTGGGAATAAGAAAACTCATAGAAATATCTTATCTTGATGCCTTGGTTCTTGTGAGTCTTGTTAATAGTGCAACCATAAAATCTCCCAGTTAGTGATTATCCATAAGATAGTATGTAGTTGTATTTAAGCAGCATTATTGATTCCAGAACTTTCGAAAATATTTTGGTTTTCGTCTTCAGAATGTCCGTGAGGGTAGCTATTGCTGTCCTTTTGATCCTATCTAAATGGCTAAAGTACACTTAGACGTATTGAATACTGAACACCAAACAACATTTAGTCAGTTTACATGCCATTTTGTTATGATAACAAGGTTGGCTCAATTAATCCTCAACTTTATTATTGTAACCTTGGTTTCTATGCTTATGAAGTGCGTCCAGTTTATTCGTCTATCAAAATTCTTTTTTTTTTGAATATCATGTTCACAAGAGTATTCTCGCTTTTCTCCACCGTTGTCATTGTTGAGATGAAGTAGAATTATCGATACTTCACAACTTAAAACCTGTCGACTTGATATTCATATTTGGCGATCGAATCTTGTGTAGTAGGGGTCGTAGTTGTTTGTGTGGATACATTTTACTTCATTCTATAAAGTGTCCCTCGTTTGGCATAATCCGTTGACTTTATTGGCTCGTAGAATATGCTGACCTTTAGTAGTATGAACAGTCAGCTGCTTCTTAAACATACCTGACATGCATTAGTACATTTCTTGTGTAGGGCAACTTACTGTCGCTTATAGTTACGTAAAAGATGAAAGGCTCTTAATTCGTACTGCACCGAAACTGTACGATAGTGTTTGAAATTTATAACTCCTATTCCGGTACATTTTACTTACTTAATTACGCCTATTACTCCCGATGGACCGTAGACCGCTGACCAACATTCTCCAACTCACTCTGTCCTGGGCTTTCCTTTCTAGTTTTATCCAATTATTATTCATTCTCATGTCCATCTCCATTTCTCGGCGTAATGTTTTCTTTGGTCTTCCCCTTCTCCTTTGGCCTTCAGGATTCCATGTGAGGGCTTGCTTTGTGACACAGTTGGGTGCTTTCCTCAATGTGTGTCCTATCTACTTCCAGCGCTTCTTCCTCCACTGGAATCTGGTTAGTCCTCTCCCACAGCAGATTGTTACTGATAATGTCTGGCCAACAGATCTGAAGTATTTTGCGTAGACAACTGTCAACAAACACTTGTATCTTCTGAATGATGGTTTTCGTAGATCTCCAAGTTTCCGCCCCATACAGTAGAAATGTCTTGACATTCGGATGACTCTCCCGGTCTCCCACATTGTACGAAAATTCCATGTACCTAAACTACTGGTTGTCAGAAGAGGCATCAGCCTCGTGATTTTCAGAGGAACTCGGCTTTCACTATGAGACGTCATAACTCTTCTAAATGAAGACCTGACTCCTAGGGCAGAGTTAACCACGAAGACTCAATGCATTGTATTTGATAGCATATTTAATTTATTAGTATTAGTGTTTTAGTCTTATTCACCTCTTTAATTTAGTCATGTGGTCAGTAGATCATGCGAGCTCCCACATCTATAAACCTACAGTCAACACCAGGGATTAAGATGAGTAATCACAGGTATTTTTCAATATTCAAACTTATAACTCATTTGATAATATGAATAAAATACAATACATGTACAACCACAAATAATACGTTCTTAGCACACAATTGGGACATTTTTAAGAACAAAGTAAGATAACTATCATTTATGGGTCGCAGAAAATCTAGGGACAATTAGTGTCGCAAAACAACTGTTTTTAGCAGGTAGTCATTCCACGAACTATACAAACTCAACGAAGATTAGATACCTAAGTTTCGTATTGATCTATTATCTTTCATTAACGCAATGCTATAAGTCTGAATATTTATCAAATACAGTCATTCAGAAAACGACTGCCAAATGATAACACAGCTTGAGATTGTGACGAACTAAGTGAACTAGTAAATTTCCTAATTACTACAGTTGTGAATTGATTTCATGTATAACTAGATACATGAACAGGATACCTACCGATAGCAGAACTACCACATTATCCTAAAATTCTTCACTTATGATCCTAATGAAAGTTTTGTACTAACATTACTCAGCTAGATTTTGCACATATGGAATCCTGATAATTAAGAACCAGTAACTTATAGTTTGTTCAACCAACGGAATATTCAATGCTCGATGAAAAGTTAGATTCAATGCATTGAGTCGAATGTTCCAGTTAATGAAATTAAACTTGTTTTCATATCGATTTCGTCCTGGGGAATACGTAAAGTAAAGCCACAGTATTTAGTCAGTCAGCAACAACGTAGGACTTCGTACGTACGTCAGTTCAAGTTGCCATACCACATCAGCACAGAGATACAACTGTTGATTCAAATCCCATAGTTGTAGAGGTAGTAAAAGTACAAGCAGTAATCGGAAAGATTAGGGTTTGAAGATGTTATCCAAGGCCACAGTATTAACGACAAGCCTACATTCACAATTGATACATAATTGGATGTTGTTAGAGCAAATATAGTTCATAGATCTAACGTTTGTGTGAAATGGGATAATTAGAATTGGATGTGAACCCTAGTTCAAACCGGCAAACAGTTCAATGTCTTACTGATTTAGAGTCTAGAATCTCGATAACTAGGTGCTATGATTAGCTAACTAAGGAAACGACGGACTTATGATCTACGTCCCACGTTTTCACTTCCTGTATACCAAATTTATAACAATACTGAGACACTTGTATATTTTTAATACAATCATTGTACAAAAATGTGTCGAAAATATTGGCAACAGAACTATGATAATGTTCAGACAATATTATTATATACAAAAAAGCAATCCATGAAGAATTGTGATTGCTAGTGGTGATAGCGTGGATAAGAAGTTCCCGGATGTCCCATATGACTAGGTGGAAGATTTCTCATTGGCTGTTGTTGTTGCTGAAATAAAAGAAAAAAACAACCATAAGTGATGTCGAATTTATTTAAACACATAAATATTGGTACAAAGGGGGCACCAAATATATATGCGCCACACAAATCTCGCTTGATTTGTGTGAGGGCTGTGATACTGCCCGGGTGCCCAGACCGAAGCAGTTAGATAGAAAGAGACTTTATGAAAGTGTTCAGGGACACAGCTCTCCATGATCAATATTAAGGAATTACTGGGAAATTCAGCCTAAAGCTTTTAATACTATGGATCAACGAACAATGAACAACACATTGACGATTAGATAACAAATAAACCTCATGTATTCGATAGTATTGTCTTTGTAGAATTGTGAGTGTGCTGCGGGAAAAAACTGAGTCAGTGATATCGACTTAGTAAACTTTAATATAAGAAATTTTAGTTACGAGACTGAATATTCATCAATTGAGATAGGAATGTCGTGTATCACCTACAAATGAGTGCATTCTCTGAAATTTGCTTGGCAAAATAATATTCTGTGCTCGTTCATTGCAGATAAGTGTAATATTTATGATGAAGACCTTCGACAGATCGTGATTCATGATATGACTAACAGTCGATTACAAAAGCCCAGATTTATTTAAATAGAAAATATACATATATTTATACAGTTACATAATAAAACATCTGAAACAAATATGTAACAACGAACAACCACAATTTACCAGATTCGCATAACCTGAAGTGGTAGTAGTAGTAGTAGTATTAGATAACTGCTGAGACTGTCCTGTTATAGTGGGTTTATTTGTGTTTGTATGTAAGATTCCACTACTGTTAACTGATGTAGATGTTGACGTTGTCGAGGAGGATGGTAATGGTGGTGGTGCAATCGATGTGTCATTATTCCCCTGGGATAACCGAATACGTTTATTAGATGGTATGTCATCATTATTATTCTACAAGGAAATAAACATTTATAGTGAAAACAAGTTTATTACATTCGTCTATATATATATATATATATATATATATATATATATATATATATATATGCATAAAATAACCTAGGCTAATTAACTATATTTCATGGTGAATATGAAGTTGAACGATAGATTAGTAGTCAAAGCACCATGCTTTCAATTGACTTCAAATTTAAACTTTAGTTTAACTCTTTCGGTATAGCTGAAACCGAGTAGTACAGTACGACTATTATCCAATCTAACTGATGGTAACTGTTTTGTTTTTGACATGATTGAAATTTAACAATCGTAAATACTTATTGGGATTTTGAAGATAGTCATGAATTAGTAAACAATTACAGTTTAATTGAATAGTTCGTGGGTTTCAAATCTGAGGCTTCAAAGTATCGTGAATGCCAAGAGGTTTGAGAGTCTAGGGTTCGATCCCGTGAAGCGTCATAAGTGTGTGCAGCCGAGAAGTCTCATAATGAGGAGCATGCTACGTATACGGACAGATATAAGAAGCATGTATCACGAACTGGAAGTAGAATTTTTACTAACAGAGGAGAAAAATGAAGAGAAGAGAAAGCAGAACAGAAAAAAACTGGAATAAAAACGGGAATTGAAGAATGATGTAGTTTGTAAAGGACAACTCAAGGAAGATGTGCGAATACTGTATTTAATGTATTGTTTTCATATTTTACGAAGACAATGTGTAAACCCATGCCTAAGTCTCCGTTCAATACAATACTAGGACTGTGTATACTACTTATTTCAACATAAGTAGTGCATCACATCAACCTGGCGGTGTTGACTGTAGCCGGTGCTGTCGACGGAGAGAAGCAATGGGACGTACGGCCGATGGGTGGACTTCGGATTTTGATGGCCCGGTTGGTCAACGCGCCACAGACTCGACATTCTGGCGAGGAGAGCGGCATAGACTGCAGTAAATAAAGCGGCAAGGCTAGCAGAACAACCGCAAGAACGATTGTTTAAAAGGCGGATGAGTGTGGGGCATACTACCTGTGTCGACAGACATAAGTAGTATGTACCACCAATCCGGAGTGGAAAACCTGGGTTCGAACCTCGCGAGGCGAGGTCGTGGATGGACACTGCTGAGGAGTCCCACAATAGGACGAAACGGCCGTCCAGTGCTTCCAGGTTTTCCGTGGTGGTCTAGCTTCAATTGACTCACGCTCTCAACTATGAAAATACTAAATCTCCACAAAAAACCCCTTCTGATAACTTTATATATGTAAGATTATTAGTAAATGGTACTTTTTACTAAATAGTTAGTGTAATAAAATAAACAAATGAATCCATTTTTTATCTCTCCTAGAAGAAAACAAGCGATTATCTTTACAGTCAGTCATCTACAACGTGGGACCAGGCACATATATGCATCAATCCAAGTTGCCACACCTCATTAGCACAACAAGATGAACACCAAATTCATAGAAAAAGTTACTTTAATGGTAGTAAAAATATTTTATATAAGGATATAATACAGGGAGAAAGAATTGGTTTGTAACAAGAAAGGTATGAAGTAATTTTAATCTCATGATTTAAAGGGAGATAAAGAGTGTATACAACAACGCCATTGTGATCAGTTCTGATCCATGTCACCCATTGGCCCCAACCAAGTAGTCTGCACCTATCAACATGGCTCAGACCAGAAGTTCGTGACTTTATGAACTGATTTCACGCTTTGGTTTGGCCGCCCCTAACTTTCTTTCATTCGCCTCTAACACGTAGTTACTTGATATGAAATATGTTATAAAGCACGAGTACTTCTCTTTTAAATGATTCTCATGAAGATACAGGTTGCCATAAAGATGAAATGTGATTGTAATGTATAACAATATTATATAATTGTTTCTAAAGGTACAATTATCTTCTTCATCAAAAATATACAATTATTATTTTCTAAAAAATCATTAACATATACTTTGTTTAATGTACTTCATTAAATGATTGTCTACTGTTAAAGTGACCAAGATGTTAAGACAATACAAGAGAGGGTAGAGAACATTTGCGGTTCAAGATGAAAAAAGTTAGGGGGAAATGTGATTTCTGAGCTGATAGATGGTTTTGGTTGTGAAAGTCTTATTGTTCTTCTATTTGAACAACATCATCAGCACTTACCTTAAATAAAGGTGAGCTATTATAATTCACTCACAATTGTGAAAAAAATTCTGATAGCTTAACCAAATTATCCAGCTCAAAAACTACAACACCTTCAAATACAAGGTGTGACACGTGTAATTACTAAAACCAAGATATTACCTGATCATAGTCATGTATCGAATGAAATACAGAATGATGAATTTAACTGATCTTATTTTTCAGTATGGAGTTACGGAAATTGTCGAATTCCAATTGAAATCATGAGCCTATCTAAGTTAGGCAGTTACCCACTAGAGATAATAGATGTTTGTGCTGTCGTGGACTGATGGAAGCTAAACATTAACACCGTTTGATGCCGGCTTAGTGGCCTAGTGTTTAAGCATTTACGTAAGAGACAGAAGACCCTGGATTTGATTCCCGCGTGAAGGAACGTGGATGCGCCCTGTCGGGGAGCCCCATACTATGATGAAACGGTCACCTAGTGCTAACAGGTTGTTAATTGTGGTTTAACTTAGATTATTTCATGATTCCAATTGATCTTACTTCAATTATTAACCGTTATACAGTAGGTTTTTTACAGGATAAGAAATAAACAAAAAGAAAACAACATATATAAACCGATACAGACCTGTTGATGAATTAATTGTCTTGTATGGGGATTAGATTGACCAGAGTTCATATGTTGTTGCTGTGTATTCAGTGGAGGTGGTTGTCCATTTGTTCTCTGTTGTTGTTGAGGCAATGGTAATTGAGGTTGTGGAGCATTATTTCCACGCTGTTGAGATTGTTGCTGAGATTGATGAGGATGTGTAGTATGCATTCCACTGCCACCAGTAGGATGTGCTGTAGTTTGTCTTCCTCCAGTAGCGTTTTGTTGTTGTGCAGTTTGTGTGACATTCTTATCTGCACCAGTTTGTTTATCATCAGAATCATCATCAGAGATAAATTCTCGTTTAGGATAAGGTATAGGTAAATTTCCAAAAACACTATAATATTTGATAAAAACAAAGCAATAACAAAATTAAATGATAATATACAATGTATCGAATATAGCTAGCAGTCAAATTTAAGATGAGAGTTTCATCTTACTGGGGACTCGCCGGCTGGATGTACATGTGCCCAAGAGTTTGTGTTTAATCCAGTGCAGGATACCCACATGCCAACCAAGACTCATCTAAATATTAACGACCAGATAACTCAAACCATTACGAATTCAATTAAAATTCCTACTCGTTGCACAAATGAGTGACTATTTGAATCCAGTAAGTCGATAAGTGGATAACGCGATGGCGTTTTGAGCTTACGGTACTGGGTTCGAGTCCCAGAGCGAACATCAACTTTGAGACGCAGGTACATCCAGTCAACGAGTCCTGGATTCCACTCCTAGCCAGATTCCATCTATTCTATATCAACTTATGTTATAATGACCATATCCAGACAATATGCCCATATACCAACCAAGGCTGAACGGATTTCAGTCAGAAATATCAACGGGACAATTTAAACAAATTCAAATAGGACAAGAATGATAATATACAAACTTGTTATGATAATTGCCTAGAAAAAAAATACATAACACAATTATGGAATAAGGTAGGATATTTAGCAACAACGACTATACCATGTACAACAGCCTTGTTGTCTTTTAGTCACTGCTACTACAAAAGATGAATCTTGTTAAGATTGACTGGAAGAGACTAAGATTTATATCGAAGGTAATAGTTATATATAAATTTAATGATCACTAGTGATAGAGTTTTATCAACTGATTAACTTTGACCAAACCAAACAATAGTGAAATATTACAGTGAATCAAATAGCATCAACTGCATGCTCTCAAATACATTGGAAGTTAGTGAATAGAAATCAGAAAAACGCATTGAAATCAACTGAACAGAAACCGCCTTAACTTAATATTCGGACGGAGCACCCCTAACAAATTAATATTAGATTTAATCGTAGACCTCATTGCAGGTTAAACTGTCGCGTATTTGGATCGTACGAGGAAAATGAGTTCCTTTGAGATTTCAGGTAGGCCTTACTGCCGAGTACTAACTAAGATAAAACCTAAATTGAACAAGATTTTCTCCCAACTACCTCCAACCACCTAACAATTTAAATTCCATCTGAAAAATCACAAATCTTTTATCTCAATAACTAACGTCTACATAGTTGAAATTACGAACTGATCTTAGCAAGACCATTATTAAAAAACCTGGAAGCATTGGAGGGCCGTTTCGTTCTAATATGGGACTTTTCGACAGAGTGCAGCTACGACTCCAAACAGCCGTCCAGTGCTTCCAGGATTTCACTGGTGGTCTAGCTGAGATCAGTTTGTGATTTCGACCGTGAAAATAACACAATATACGCAAATTCTCCGTACCAATTAATATTTAGACGAAATTGATATTTTCTTGAAACGTAAATAAATTGACTAGGGGTCAAGCCCAGAGCCTTCGACCTAAAGGTCTGGTCCATAAGACAGTGGAGCAACATAAGGAGATGCAGTACCATGGTAGCCGATGACCAATAATTAGTTCATACAACATTTGTTTCCTCAAGATCATGGAATCCATGTGCATCATTGGTTTGGAATCAGGGTTTCCCAACTCCCTTAGGTGGATTTTTCGTGTCTACCAACCGGGTGAAAGCGCCGAACATTCGCTTTTCGTCCTCTCAACTCCGTAAAAAACACCCCCGCCGTGAGAGGATAGTGAGTAGGACTTCCCTGGCAGTGGCTGGATATGCGTAGCTATGTGACAGCATTTGGAGGGGGAAAGCTGAATCTCCCCACCCTCGGTCGTATCAGGGCATTTGAGGGCCCAAAGTATGTAAACACTAATAGTAGAATAACAATTTATTGTAAAAAAAACTCACTCATTATTTGGTTTTTCACCTTCCTTGAAATAAGAATCTTCCATAGCCTCAGCAGCAGATAAACGTTTAACAGGATCCATAGTTAACAAACGTCTGAGCTTAGAGAATGTAATTATGATAAAAAATTATTACAAATTTTTATCAAAATGGGGGATTGTGGAGATTGCAGTGATTTTCTAATAGTTCAATTCATGAATCGATTTAAGCTAGACCACCATCGATGCCGGCTCAGTGGTCTAAAGGTTAAGCGTTCGCGCGCGAAACCGCAGGTCGTGGGTTTGAGTCCCGCGTGTGAGATCGTGGATGTGCACCGCTCAGGAGTCTCACACTAGGACGAAACGGACGTCTAGTGCTTCAAGGTGGTTTAGCTTAAATTGACTCATGAATTTAACTATTAAATTATTAAAGATTTCCTGATATCATCTCAAAATGAAGATGTACCATTATCCATTTCATTTCTTTTTTTCACAGTGAAAGTATAGCTATTCACTAGATTTTATTGATACAGACAATGAACTTATCTGAGTTGGAGGTAATATTTAGAAACGTATAGTAAACATCTTAGAAATGTTACCAAAAGAGTCTATAAAAGTTGTTTACATCTGATTTTTATTTTCAAACTACTAATTTACATGGTAAAAGTATTCAATGTTCTGTTGTTAGAAGTAATGAGAAAGAATCTTTGGACTAAATCTACCATTCTCGGATTTAAGCTGACAATTTCATCTTTTTGTGTTAACAGGGTATGGCAACTTGAACTGCAGTACATATGTACCAGGTTTTACGTTGTGACTGACTGAAATATTATGCTGGTTGATGCTCGTCTGTAAAGTCCATCTACAATATATATTAATATAAATAGTGAGGGTCTAATCAAACCATACCGTAGGATTTACTGAACACTAATTGTTTGAACAATGGATAACAATCTTCTTTATCTAAAACAACGTCTTTAGGTGACAAGTTTAAGTCATTAAAAATCAGCAAAACAACTTTTTCCATAAGTCGTTTCTATTTTACAGTCACTTATTACTGAGGGAAATTTTGGCGAAAGAAACAGTAGCAGTCTTGACTGTGATTATTTTAACTGTATAGAATGAACCGGTGAAACACCACCTGTGGATCGTTGTGTTTGGCAGAAAACATATGTGGCTACAGATAAGTACAACGGTGAAGGAAGCTGACTGAATTAAACAGATGAATGGGTTACGTGACAGAGCAATGTCAAGCTCCTATCTTAAATCCGGAACCGTAAGTAAATCGGTCTTAGAATTCTGTTTGGTAAATGCTAGTATTCTGGTGGTGAATATGGAACAAATATCAATTGTAGGATAAAAAACTATATCCACATATAAAGTATGGAACGTATTTATAACCCTAAATGTAAAGACGTCCAAAATTCTCTAAGGAGACTTAGTACATGCCTGAGTATCCACTAATAGAAAGTGAACCACAATGACGAGTGAATTGAAGCTATGTATGTCATAAAATACTGTGAAAGAATATGATATCATCTTATTGTGGTTAAACGAATGAAAAATGAGTTGATGAAAGTTCTCAACGTTCAATAACTGAATTCCCTTCCACGTGATACGCCGTGAAATACACTTTTTTTTACATCAAAAGAACAAGTAAATCTACGATGGGAAGTTGATTTCACAGCTGTCTGCTAGATTCGCATGAAAAGAGATCAAGGTAGCTTAATCACCAATCCAAATAATAATACACATCAAATAGGGCCAAAATTAATAAAATTGTACAATAACTTACCAAAGCTAATTCCCTTTCATCCACTTTGAATTTTTTCTCTTCAAAATAACCTTCCAGTGAATATTTACCATAGGTTTTTTTACTTATGGAATCACGTAATAATTGATGATAGTCTGGCATTTTTTTCATATCAACCCAAGCATCATCTGAATTGATCAGAAATAAAGATAACAAAGAAGCAGATACTTTGATTATACATAAAAGTGATTACTAATTACTAATTACAAATAATCAATAGACACTATTCATCACAGAGTCGTCTTATTTGTGACGTCATTAAAAGTTAGGAAAAATGGAGAAACCGTTTCGTTCTATTATGAGACTACCTAGTTGTGTACATTATAGAGCACAACAGGGAGTGTTTTGAACAATAAGCTACAACTTCACAAAACCAATATCTAGTGTACTTTGGTTTCAAGTTATTGTCCAACCGAAGTCAGTTCTTGGTGAAAAATCACATCTCAAAAAAGGTTCAAAAACACAGAATCGATAAATCAAAAGTTTGCATTCCGGAGGTCGTATTAGGCTGTGGCATATCACTTGATCACTAGTGTTTTGCCAAATAACAACTTACATACCTGGTGGATATCCCATTACACGAAAAATACGCTCCAGTTGTTCTTTGTGATATGGTGTACTTGTTTTAATATCTTCTTGACGACAATGAAATATAGGTTCATATGTTAGTAATTCTGCAAAAATACATCCAATGGCCCATATATCAATAGCTTTTGTATAATGTCTAGCTCCTAGTAGCAATTCTGGTGCACGATACCAAAATGTCACAACAACTGGATCCAAATCAGCTAATGGCTTCAGTGGTTGATAAAATAGACGAGCAAAACCTAAATCACCTATTTTAACTCGACCTCGATCAGGACCTTCACCCATAACTAAGATGTTTGCAGGTTTCTAGACAAAAATCAAAAAGACAAATATATTACTAAGCGAGTAATGAAAGTAGGAATGTTAAACAGACACATATCAGAGTGGCTCAAATGTGGGTTCGTCCAAGTTGCCATACAGAATCAGCACGAAGTGGAAACAACAGAACAAATCGAAATAATGTAGTAGAAATGATAAAAAGGGAATTTAAACCTTGGGAATATGGTTCGCAAAGAGAGTGGAAAGGCAAGTATAAAGGAGTACTGAAATTCAAGACTGAGAGGAAGACAAAGAAGGAATGAATTGACAATATTGTGAACGACTCTGTGCCATATAACTCAACGTGTCCAACCACTGATAGTGGTTATCATGCGGACTCCTCACACCAAGTAAGGTGCATCTACCAATATGGCTTAGATAAACTGTCAGAGTTATCCGCTCTCCTTACTTTACTTAACTTTGCCATATATAATACCTTAGAGATAACGCTTCTGTCTCCAGACGTTTCAAGGACTGATAACCTTAACAGAAGATTAACTTGGTGACTTAAAACACATAAATGACAGCCCTACTTAGTGGAGTGGCAGAAAAAAGGATAAGATAGTGGTTGGAGGTGGTCAACAAGAAACCCTGGACCCGGGTTTCGTGCTACTTGGCGCTCGTCAGCAAGGTGTACCTGTAATCTTGAGGGAACTGGTGCTCCCTGACGGATTCGATCCCGTGTCACTCGGCTTCACAATCAGAGACGTTACAACTGAGCTATTTGGGCCGCGACCGACCTCCTGTAGAACTGAGATGTAATCACAATTGATTGACCACTGGATGGTGATCAATGTCATGCGTGTCAAGTCCTTCTCCCTGGAGGCAGTGCGTTCGCACTCACTTCGAAGGTGGAGTGGCCGAGTGCTCTAAGGCGCTGGTTTAAGGCACCAGTCCGAAAGGGCGTGGGTTCGAATCCCACCTCCATCACAATGTTGCCCCCAAATGCCCTGGTACGGCCGAGAGTGGGGAGAGTCTGCTCTCCCTCTCGAAATACTCTCATATGTCCAGCGAATATATAGTCTCTGACAGGGAAGTCCTACTCACTGCCTTCTCGAACCACGGGTGTTGTTTACGAAAGTGAGAGGACGAAAAGCGAATGTCCGGCGCCTTAACCGGGTTGGTGGACACGGAGGGTCCACCTAGGGGAGTTGGAAAACCCTGATTTCAAACTAATGGTGCACATGGGCTGGCTCCAGTATCCTGATGGAACGAATGGCGGACGAACCTTTCATTGGTCAACGACTACCATGGGACTGCATCTCCTCACGATGCTCCACTGCCTTGTGGATCAGACATTCAGGTCAAAGGCTCCGGGTGTGGTCCCCTAAGAAAACCACCTGCTTCAGTCTGGGCACCTGGGCAGTATCACAGCCCTCACACAAATCGAATGAGATTTGTGAGGCGCATATTTATCTGGTGCTTCATTGTACCAATATTTATGTGTTTAAATAAATAAATAATAGTGCTGATCGAATGCTGTCGATCAAGTTGCAATATGGCCACTAGTCTAGGTGGATCGACACTGAGTGCACTATGTTGAGATAAGATGATGGTTGGAGGTTAGTAGTAAATTCAATTCCTTTTTAAGCTTTGATTGGACATGCCCCAACCACCACTTATGCTCATTCAAGTTCACAAGTTCAACGACCGAATAATCGCACTTCTTACAACCGGGTTATTTCACAACAGGTGAGCAATACAACAAAGACAATCACCTGTGTTCTACATTCACAGTTCGTTACCAACGGCTATTTCTTATTGGTAGTGCAGTGTGAAATGACAAACTGTTTAATGATTGGAGGCCAAACTCTTTACTGTGACAATGGAAAGAAAATGTATTCATAAAACATCTTTGAGCTCCCTAACATTTCTTTAGACTTGAAAAAAACAGACAAAATTATCATTAGAACATACCAAATCTCGATGTAAAACCCAATTGTCATGTAAATAATGGATTCCATTTAATATTTGATACATTAAACTTTTGACCATATTGCCATAGACTTGAACTGTACTTTTATTTGCTTTAGTTGTTCTATGAAATTTTATAATATGCCAAAGATCATGTTCTGCAAAGTCGAATAGCAGCCATACTCGCCTAGTTGTATGATTCAGAAAAACTCGTTGTAGAGTAATTACATTTGGATGCTTTAACTCACGAAGAAGCTAAACATGATACATACAAATTATTTGTCAGTGTATTATAATTGAACTTACAGCTATTTCTCGGCACGCAGACATAGATAAACCAGTACCTTCAATTTGTTTTAATGCATAATCTCTACCGTCTGTACCATCTTTAAGTTTGGCTTTATAAACACTTCCATATGTCCCACGTCCAACTTTACATCCTTCAAAATCAAAAAGATCTTCTACTTTCTCACGGATTTCATTTAGTTTTCGTTTGAATTCCGCATCCACCATGTTATATTTCCAATGCGAATACGACAAACTACGAGAAAACATGAACAGTTTAAAATTCCTGGCTAGCAGTAAATGAACATACAAAACTGTGAGCAACACTTAATTTATGAAGTGGAAACAATGCTTCCTGTTAATTCAAACTAACACATTGTGTTAAGGCAAAAAGACGGTAATTCAATTTGTGTCAATATCTTGAAACACTCGCTTCGGTGGTTTAGAAGTATACTACAAATGTCACAACCGCGTCGAGCATTATTTACAGGTGATGGGGCTAGGTGGAAAAAAGCAGACAGGTAGCCAGTTTATAACATAGCCCCATGGTGTGAAATAAAGCCATCTAAGATTGATAGCTATTCGTCTATCACAACTCAGTGGTTGGGGTTCTGAACATAGTGAAACTTGGCGACTTAAGACACTGTCCGACAAAGCTCAAAATAAGTCAACGGCAATTCAGTTGTAGTCTTTCTTTATATTAGTTGTAGAAGGGGTAGTTCTACTAACTGACGTCATCTGGTTATATTTCTAACTGCACTTCATTTCCACTCTATCTACAATAGCACCTTTTAGTTATGTGATGAGTGCCATATTTTGGTTCCAAATTGTACTAGAATTGGTTGAGTAAATAAATAAAACAGAAGACAACTGGTAAATTACGTAAAATATTTAATACTAGTAACTACCTCCCGAAAAACTTGTTCACGTACGAGTTCAGATTGCCGATGAGTTTTCTTTTAATTTTAACTCTTCTAAAAAACCCGATAGGAAGGAGTAAGACTGGTCATGGAAATCAAGTCATCTGGGATAACTGAAAACACAGAAAGTAATTTAGGGTGAGTCAAGATCAAATGAAGAGCGATAACTAAACCTGTCAAAAAATAATGGATGTGGATTGAGAAAACGAATTTGTAGGATGTACAAGAAAAATATATACGTAGTTGACAGATAATCAACACAACCAAATGTAGGTGATACTCAAACCAAAGTTGTTTGAAAATGAAATACCATTCATTTCAGTTTTAGCAACTGAGGTCGTTTTTTTCCTTCTACGTAAAATGTCCGGCACATATTCTATTAGTGATAATGAATTAATTGTATCTAGATCTTACATCGACCTTGCAGATTTTCTCATCGGGCTATTTACGTGCTTAGTAGTTAGTCTTGAGCATTAATGATCTGTTATACGCACACACAACAGTAAACCGCATATTCCTAAAAAGCACTAAAAAACCCATCACAGATGCTGATCGCAATTTCATTTCGGAATCCTACTGACGAAAGCTATGACTCTCAATCATAAAGCAAATGTGTTTGGCTGGGTGACCCATGCTTTGAAAATTTTGTGCATATAGATCCACACTTACTTAGATCTGGCGCAATCAGACAAATGAGAAGTAGCAGAAGAAAAGTTATTATGAAGTAGCACTTAGTTTGATACAGTGAGCATTCCCAACCACCACATATATTCAATAAACCAATCATGAACTGCCAAATTATGTTTCTTTTTCAGAATCCAATCAAGGATAATCGTACGATTCGAGTCCACTGACCTAGTTTCCTTATAATTGAAGACTACAACGCAGACGTGATTAGTCCTGTTATAATTTATGAGAATCGTGATTCAAACCTTACGTATTATGCAATCGCCTGATTCATATCGACAACTTAAGAAAGTTGGGGAATGTCTGGAGTATTTGGGCAAAAGTAGACTATTTGATGCAAGTGTATGCAGAACCTAGAATGTTTGGTGACAACTAAGTCAAAATTAAAAATGCGATTTTCGGGATATTTTGTGCAATTATCTTTCTGGAGATAATTTCCAATAAATAGCAGTGGAAAGAGATAACTTGAAGCAATATCGCCACAATTGACACTAGGTTTTTTGCAGACTGTCACCTACATTTCTAAAGGCATGATTCAAATGTACTCATCTGTTTGTACGAGTAAACACGGGGTTAAATGCGCGTCAATAAACAAACCAAAACACAGTAGCGCACAACTCATACTTCATATCGAATACGTCCAATATCTTTTTGGTGTGTATGTGGTTACTGAGACTCCTCTAAAAGGCTTCATCGACAGGTGAGTTCATCGATGACAGAATTAGACCCTCACTTCCACTTTAACTCCGTTTGATTTGGCACAGCAATGTCTAGTTTATAAGCCAATGATAATCATTTTTAATAGACTGAATCGATTGTTTTTCATATATTTGCGATGTTAATTTACGGTTTCGAAGCAGATAAACTTTACCCAGCCAGATATTTTACTTGTTGTGACTTTGGTCAAGCTAAGACACTGTGCTCGACAATCAGGGGATTAGTTTAGAATTTTGTCTGTGGGAAATCGCCTTGCAGTGCCGTGCCTCGATAATAGTTCATTTCGATAACCGTTATTATACCGATCTTAACGGTGTACAAAATCAGAATGCAAAAGGAAGCGGCAAATACATAACTGGCGATCTCGACATACGAAACCGCAGCGAAATCGATAACTTCAACGCCACTACATGGCTGGTTAGCCCGACCTACGAACACGCAGCATAATTGGCAAACCGTATTTGGATCACGCAACACAATTGGCGATCCCGACTTACGAACGCCAAAACATAATTGGATGCCTCGCCGAACGAACACAGACCAGAATCGACAACCTCTGCGTACGAACTCACAACATAATTGGCGACCGCAACGAGCGAACACATAACAAAAATGGAACGGCCGATGACATATTCCGTTATGATCCGAATAATCATCATATGCTCATTCTTACAATAATGTCATATCATCATCTAACGTGGAATTATTATTTTTGTTCGTAATGACGGTAAATTATGACATATACGCAGTCAAATCACTAATCGAACAAATTTTAATGATATGGACATTACACGTTATGGTATTCTAAACTCACTGAATTATTTTTACGACGTAAATTATTCCTGATTTAAGTGAGTTCGTTCCAATTTTTTCTTTTTCATGTCATTTTCGGCCTAATATTACACTTTATCATAGACACGAGTTTGGAGTCATACTCCTCATAGTGGGAACTTATGTTCTCGATGCAACTAATGTTCATTCATACCATCGGTACGTAGCAACCGTCGTTTCCTACATTTTCAGCGACAACCTAAACCGAACTTCCGCAATTTGTGTTTCACGATGATTCCTACTTTAATGTCTATACACAAATCAAGTATTCGACGCCGCATTACCAGCCGATTAGTAATGATTATGTTCATACTATCTATTCATTCATATGTATATCTGAATGCTGCATCATCCATTACCGATAATCACAATTCGATTACTGCAATTGATTTTCTATCCCCATAGCACTGCATACAAGAACATAGAGTTTAGAGCTGGTCTCTCAAAGATACACTCTTGTTCGTCACATTCAAGTCAGTCTCACTCGCCATTATTGATAATCATATGTATTGGTATTTTTTATTATGCCTTAATACGGTTTCGTAACAAACGAGGTTGAGCACATATCCCTCTAACGACATAAAACACGCTAGGCTTCATGACTAAAAAGGAATACGACTCCGCATATCTCGTCTCAGCAGTCATTATCCTGTTCCTCTGGTCATTCTATTAATACATATTTAACGATAACTCAACGCAAGCGACAACATACACTGACTTCGCATTTTATTATCATAATCAATTGCAGTACATCAATGAATACCGCCTGTTGATGCAGTCATCATCCTGTGGCTGGATTATTTCTTATCCCACATAAACTTCAGTTATGTAAATTCGAATCTACTCATCGCTGAACGACGCTATTTACTCTACTGAGGCTAATCAGAACATATTTCGCTGTTCTTTATCCTCATGTTCAATCGGCACCACAGACCAATTTCCGTCATACTCTATCCCACTTATTTACTCGATTTACTTCTGTCATACCCAAAAACAACTTATCACTCTATTTTCACGATATTTCGATTCGCGCATATTAACCTGTTATTTTATCGTCCAGACAGTCACGATATAAATGCATGTTAAATTTTTTGTACGCTTACTAATTTACTCATAATCACATGCTAACATTTCCAATTCTGTCCTCATTTTGAGAATATTCATGTACATTTTTACATAAGTATGACACTTTCGTTTAATACGCTAACCCCTCACATGCCACTGTAATTTATCAGGTATTGTACCATTTTTTCCCACATTTTGACGTTATCTACATACCGCTTCAGTGTCATTTTTCGAAAAGACTTTTTTTCATAAATGTGCTATTTTCTGCAAGGGGCTATGTAGTATCAGTTCATATGTTAAGCCCATATACTTTATTCCAGCTACTGGCCAAGCCAATTCACCTATATATTGTGAGTCATATTTCGATTCTGTTCATTAGTTGCTTCTTAACCTTGACTACCTTTTTATATGAGCGCATGTGTGTGTACCCTTCGTATCCTATTCATCATATGTCTGCCATTCATTTTTGTCTGATTATAAATATTGAGTAATGCTTGCTCATAGCGAGTTGGCTTCCCAGCCATCTCCACTATGCATCATCTTTGCTTCGCTCGCTTACACTTGCTCATGTGCCCACAGCTTTCTGGTCTGCATCGATTATCAATAAAAATGTAGTTGCCGCTTCCTTTTGCCTTCTGATTTTATACACCGTTAAGATTGGTGTAATAACGGTTATGGAAATGAACTATTATCGAAGCACGGCACTACAGCCTCCTACCGAGTCTCGAATTAGAATTTATTAAGTGACGTGTAAGATGGTTGACAAAAAGAATGGAGATTGAGAAATTCTAGTCTGGATCAATCACCAGTGAAAGATGTGTGCTCCTCCATGTTTAACTGGTTTGGGTAGGACGTCTTTGTTGGGACAACTAGTAAAGCTCAGAATGTTATGCACCACTCTAAGGTCGTTTTATGGCTTCTTATAAGTTAACTACTGTAAACCACGTTAGTAAGATCGGTCCTTATATATTTCGTCCCTTAGTCCCATGATCCACCTTGTAGCGCGCGTTTGTACTTGTTACAAGAGGTGTGTACCGGTTTTGTGGGGAGCTATGCATCGATCTTGAAGTTTTCTAAACTGGGGAAGATATAAGTTTTGTACTGTGTCCGAAAGAGTTCTGGTGTCTGCACCCGTAATTAACTTCCTATATAGCGGAGAATAAGACTGAAACTACCTGGTAGTTGTCATTCGTCCACACCTGTCTGCTAGTTACATACCTAGGTAGCGTTTCGTTGAGCCCTTGGGGGGTCAGTGCATCGGAGGGAATAGTTGTCTGATGGTATTCTGTAGCCTAAAGTAGCATGGTTATACACTTCTGGAGACCGAATTTTAAATCATCCTTACATGCCAATTTCATTTGCCTTCAGACCTAATGCTTTAGATCTAATAGCTTAGATAAGGACCGATGAAGTGTAATTTAAGTCCAGGTCCTTGATGAATATTGCTAGTAATATAAGTCTCAGCAAGCCTTTCTTTAAAATCACATGCATCGATTCTCTTCAGTTTGGTCGTGTTCGACTGAATTCGGTATGAAATTCTTGGTCCTGTAGGTAGTTACTCAGCCAAGTAATAAATGGGCCTTGTGGATCACACTTTCTCGATTTTCGCCAGAAGTACAGAGTGCTACACAGTAACTAATGACTTGGAAAAACGCAGAAATAATGCGTGAATAGGCACTCTTCTGATCGTAGTGATCTGTCAAGCAGTTCAGCCATGGTAAGGCGTTCCCCGTTGCAGGACCTTCATTTCCTGAAACCATCCCATCCAAAGAAATTGTGCTCACCCAGTGAAATCAAAGGTTGGAAGCGAGCGGGTTCGGAGATATACTTGATAGACTATCAATATATTGAGGAACGACTGATCTAATCTGACTAGCTGTTGCGGGAGAAGTTGCGCACGGCGTTCCCACTCGTGATCTGGTGCGGATTCATGACCGGGCTCCTTCAGCTAGGTGAGTCCATTAAAACTAATGTGATCAGCACCCAATGTTGAACACTTAGAGAGCTGTTGATTTTGTGGATTTTTTTATTGCTTCATGGTGATATAGGTGTACCTATCCATGCAAATAGAATAATAGACCTGATCCAACGCTGTGAACTTGCCATTTTATGACCTCCAAATCTTTAAGAGCTTAGGTTGAATTCACATCGTTATCTATACTGACCAGTTTCATTGTGATGGTCGGCAATGCTTATAATAACCTTCGAAGAGCACATTTGGAATTAGGATAGAGTCAAATATTTGATACAAAGACAAACAGATTAAGTCGGATTGTCATGCTTGCACGTCAAGTCATGGCATCACGAACAAAGTGTTCTCACGTTCTCACAATCTCCGAGTGTTCTGAATTTCATGTGAGCCATCGCATTTGTTGCATGTTCAGCTCCAAGGATCTTGTGGTTAGGAACGAATCCCATTACTATATCTTTGTAATCAGTAAATAATTTCAACATGAATCAGTACAATCATGCAACAGCAAGTTGAGCAAATTAAAAATCAATCCAGAAAATTGTAGTTAATGTGAGAAATAATATACCAATATGGGATTCATGGCTACATATATATTGATGAATCTATCCAGAGTAGTAAAGTAATAAACTTAACATAATACTGTTGACGCGCTGTGACAGGGCTGTCTAAACACTCAGTCTTGATGATGTCGTCGCGCTGACCCTGATTGGCCTCCAGCTCTATTCACGCACCACTTAAAAGCCAATGGAAATCTATCGAGTTGGTGTAAATACTTCTCTAGTGATCATGTGATGAAGAGCTAATGTAACAACTGTCGTCACAAGCAAATAGGCTTAGATCATATGAAACCAAAAGCATCTTGACCATTTTCAAAGAACAATATTTCTAGTGAAGAATTATTTGGCTTTTATAATGTATCAGACGGACTACTCCACGTTTAGAAGAAA